GAGTTCTGGATGGCCAGACTTCATCTTTCATACTTCAGACATGTCATCAGGAGGGACCAGTCTCTGGAGAAGGATTTCGTATTTGGTAAAGTGGAGGGTCGGAGAACAAGAGGAAGACCCCCAATGAGATAGATCTTCACAGTGGCAGCAGCAATGGCTTCAGGTACAGCAGTGATTGTAAGGTTGGCCCAGGATCGGGCAATGTTTTGTTGTTATACATAGGGTCGGGTCACTCTGAGTAGATACTGACCCGACGGCACCTAACAAAAACAACAACAGGATTTGAATGCCAAGTTTGAAATTTGGAGCTTTCTTTCAATCGTTTCCCTTTAGAAAAGCCAGAGACATTTCAGGTGTACTTGAGTGGGATGCATCCGGGGTGGGAAAGAGGAAGAAAGGCAGCCCTTCCAGAACACCAGGGAGAACTGAGAAGACCAGACTTCTTGAATGGCTGGACCTTTTAGAAGAAAAGATGTGTTCTAGACTGTTTTCTCCACAGCAACTGGGAACTGTCACACAGTACTGCGGTAACAACATGCTTTGGAACCTTCTGACAACACTCACTGCCAAAAGACCACAAACTGAGCAGATTCTCCATACCTGAATGCTCACAATCACAGGCTCCACGTCTTGGTACTCAATCTTCACCTTTTTGGAGGCCTGCTTGGCATGAGTATATGAATCAGCAACCACAGTACAGACGATCTGACCCACACAAACCACCTGCAGAAAAAAACAGACCAAAACGTCCACCAGAGAGGCACTTGTCATTGTGGGGTGAGGTGCCCTGAGATGACGTGTGTAGAGTTGGAGTTGAATATTTATAGCTAGTGCTCAGCCACCCCGGGCTGTATAAAAATCCACTGCCATCAAGTCACTTCTGGCTCATAGTTGCCCTATACAGGACAGAGTAGCACTGTTCTTTAGGATTTTTGAGACTAAATCTTTATGAAAGCAGACAATGTTTCTCCCATTGAGTAACGGGTGAGTTTGAACCACCAAACTTTTGGTTAGTAGCCCAATGTTATATGGACAATTTGCTCAAGCTTTCTCAGCCTCAATGCCCTTATCCTAAAACGGAGATAACCATGTTAAATTTGTCCTGAAACAATGTTGTTGCTCTTCTAGCATCGGTTGTATTGGCTCCTGAGTCATGGCAACTCCATGCTCAATGGAACAAAGCATTACCTGTCCCTGTACTATCGCAAAATCAGATGGAATCTGACCTTCAGAATCCATAGGTTTGTCCTTGACAGATTTTTGAGAGTAGATTTCCAGGCCTTTTTTCCTAGTCTATCTTAGCCTGGAAGTTCAGCATCATAGCAGTACACACACCTCCACCGACAGATGGTGGTAGCCATGTATGAGGTGCATTGGCCTGGAATCAAACTCAGCTCTTCTGCATTGCTGTTGTTGTTGAACGTCATTGAGTCAGTTCCAACTCATAGTGACCCTGTATAGGGTTCCCAAGGAGCAGCTGGTGGGTTTCAGTCATCAACCTTATGGTTAGAAATTCAGTGCTTATCCTAAAATGCCACACCAGGTGTCTTGCACTGATGGCAAAAATTCTACTATTGAAGCAACAATGCCTCTCAAAGTACGGTTAGCACAAATGAATGCTCCAAAGTTGTTGGTAGGACTATATGTGGTTGTGTGTATAAAGGCACCTGGGAAATCATCAGTACCAGGGAAGAGCAGCTGCCACTATTACTAATACACTGAATAAGTCAGATTACCTTGTCCTGTGCGTACAGCCTTTCTTCTTGACTGCCGTTGTCACCTGGCACATCCTGGGCTGTTATCACGTCCACCACACCAGGCAACCCGAGAGCCTCAGAGGCATCAATGGAACTGGGAAAGAAACCAAACCACCAAATGCGTTACATGGGATATGTGGCCCTCTGTTCTGTGAATGAGGTAGTGCAAAAGCTTAACACACTTGGCTGTTAACTGAAAAGTTAAAGGTTCAAATCCACCCAGAAGCCTTGGAAGAAGGCCTGGTAATCTATTCTCTCCACAAACCCTATGCAGCACAGTCTACTCTGACACACATGGGGTTGCCATGAGTTGAAATCAACTTCACAGCAACCGATGGTGGTGGTAAATCCCAAGAACCCCACTGTAATCCACATGAGCACCACCAGGCAAGTCCATAATGGGAAGTGTGGTAAAACCTTGTGAACACTAGGCGGGATGGAAAATATTCATTTTACTGGATGCAGAGGTGACAAAAAAGGGGATCTTTAGAAGAGTATTTTGTAATACTGAATTTTCATAAATGAATCCCCAGTTGGTGCACCTTTAGGAGCTCAGCTTTTTCTGAAGATCATTAATGTTGTTGTTAAGTGCTGTTGAGTCGGTTCTGACTCATAATGAATGACCCTGTCTAGGGTTTCCAACTGGTGAGTTTGAACCACCAACCTTGTGGTCCAGTGCTTCCCCTACAGCACCACACCAGGACTCACCTTCTGAAAATGGGCCCCCAGAAAAAGGTACAGAGACTTAGAGCTCTTTGGGGATCTCACGAGCTGAGGAAATGGTTCTTATCCCTTTAAATTTTCAAATAGGTTGGATACCAGCTCTGTCTACTTACTCTTTTGTCAACTCTCAAACCCACATTTTCTTTTTTCTTTTATCGAGATATCTACAGGGGTTGCTTTCTACTGAATTACTTCAATGTGTTGGATTAGGTAGATCCTTAATAAGCACTCCCACAAGTGTCTATTGGGTATCAATACCTGTACATCACTTTTTGACTTACATGAGTTTAGCGTGTGGTCTGGTACTTGTCACCACTGCCAGGAAAAGTTCTTCTGAGAAGGCAGGCATGTCATCACAAAAGACAGCTTCCCCTGTGGCATGCTTAATACCTGACTGGTGCATGATGGGCCGTCCAACTGGGTCATGTGGGGGCTGCTGGGGAGCTACACTCTGTGTTAAATAATAGAGCAAAACACAAAGTAAACGAAGAAAGCACAGGCATTTATGAGCTAGAAACATCTACCAGGATCTTTCTTTACTCTATGTGAGGCTACGCATTCCAAACTCTCCCGTTTTTAGCTGAACTGGCTCGTTATTTGTGTATATGAAGGTAAAGTGGTGGAGTGGGATGAAGACGAGGCAAGCGGGAACTGGACCATGAGTGAACGTTGGCTTGGTGATAGGGGTTATTGTTGTGAGCTGTCATCAAGTCAGCCCTGGCTTCATGGTGACTCCATTGGCAAGAGAACATAATGCTCCCTGGTCCTGCAGGGACCACTGACTGCAGACTGGACCCTTGTGATCCATAGGGCTTTCACGGGCTGATTTTTGGAAATGATCACCAGACAACTGGAGGGAAAGAGCAGATTGCAGAGAGAGCCTCTTCTGACCCAGGAACCCATGTGTAGTTAGACGAAGGGACCTGTCCCGTCTTGTACACGTGCCCACCTTTGTCTTTCTTCTGCCCCTCGGAGACAAACCTTATCTTCACCCCTGAAGTCATGTAGTTGAGAATGTCTGTTCAGAAATTCAAATGAGATTTCCAGCAGTTTCCTGGTTTGCTTAATTTATTGACTGTTTGGGAAGGACCTCAGTAACAAAAGCCAGATATGAGTTCCAGCTATTTATTCAAAGCCAGTTTCCTGAATAGACAGAACAGTAAAAACCCAGAAACAGAGGTGTCTCTGATGGATGGCACAGGTAGCAACCCCAGGGCAGATGGAAGAAAACAGTGAACCCAAGAAGAAACTAGGGATTGCACATTTTAGGGGTTGCAACCAATGTCATGGAACAATTTTTTTCATGAGCTATTGAATAAGAAAACTAATTTGCTATGTAAATTTCCACCTAAAACACAATAAAATGTTAAAATGAAAAAAAAAAACATGAAGACCTCAGAGGATACTCTGCTGCCCCCTGGTGCTGGGCTCTGGTAATCCCAAACATGTTTTTAAATTTTTACAAAGAAAATGCTTTTTAATTTCTGTTAGTTTTATTATTAACTGAGAGGATATGTTGTGAAAAATAATGTCATCCTAAATCAGTGGTGGGTATTATATAAATGTGAAGTTGTTGACAATCTGATAGGTTAAGGAAAGTACCTCACTGCCATTTTAATTTGCATTCTGTAAAATCTAAGTAAGGTTCAATATGTTATTGTTGTTACTAAGTGCCTTTGGGTGAGTTCTAACTCATAGTTACCCTGCATGGGATTTCCAAGGAGAGATGGGTAGGCTCGAACTGCTGACCTTGGGGTTAGACATCCAGTGCTTATCCTACAGCACCACTAATACCACCCCTCCCCCCCACCCCAGTATGTGGCACTCTGGGTAAATGCGTCAGACTGCAAAGCCGTTTGGACTGCAAGGTTGGAGATTCAAGCTCACCAGCTGGTCCTTGGAAACCCTATACAGGGTCGCTATGGATCAGAACCAACCCAATGGCACTTAACAGTAATAACAACCATTTGCCAATGGATATATTTAATTAATTTATTTATTTTACTATTTTTGAATTGTTTGCTGATTTACAAAAATATTTTTTGGAAATATGTTTCTTTTTTGTTGTTGTTGTGTTCTAAGTGTTCTTAGGTTGTACTCATACATAGAACAAGAGATAGTTGTTTAAAATGAACAAGAAGTTACTGCATGGTTTAAAAACAGGAAAGGTGTGTTTCAGGATTGCACAATTTCATTATCTATATTTAATCTGTATGTGTGGAAAGAATCTGAGAAATAGACCATATAAAGAATGAGATATCAAGAGGAAGAGTCATTAACAACATACAATATGCAGATGACACAACTCGGCTGTAAGAGGATTTGACACACTTACTGATGAAGATCAAAGACTGCTATTATATCTCAACATTAAAGAAAACAAATATCCTCAAAACTGCACCAATAAAGAACATCATGGTAAGCCAAGAACAGACTGAAGTTGTCAAAGGTTTCATATTACTTGGATCGATGAATATGGAATACTGAAGAAGAATCGATGCCTTTGAATTATGGTGTTGGAGAAGAATATTAAAAGTACCATGAACTAGAATGTGGGGGGAAAGGTAGAATCCCCACTGAATAATTTTCATCTCATCTAGATGGGTCTGGTGAAAGAAGATGGGTATTAGTCTTATGATTCAGTAGTGTGTAATTGTTATCATGATTAATTGTGATTTTCACAACTGTAAAGGTAGAAGTTTTGTAATATAAAGGGGGGAATAGTTAATCTTACATTCCAGGAAGAGAGGACCCTAGGACCATCAAAGGAGAAGAGCACAAGTGGAATGTGGGACCATATCCAAAGAAGCAACGACACCAGAGATGGAGGCAGAGATGATGACAATGGAGAGATAGAGTGGCTGAGGACTCTAGACTCATGGAAAGAGAAAGGCTGTGTGCTGGTGGCCAGGAGGCAGACTTGTAGAATGTGCCCTTTGGTTGTTTAAATGATTATATATTCTTGAGTGTTGTGTACATCAAAAACAAAAACTAAAACAAAATAAAAAACCAGAAGGAATAGAAGCAAATACTGTAGAATGATGCATGGAGGGGATAGTAATCATTGCAATGAAACAAAATACGATAGCATGAGTGCGAAACCAATGTTCTCCCATGTAAACTATCACTCAATTCACAATAAAAGTTAAAAAAAGGAAAAATAAAGTACCATGGACTGACAGCAGACCAAACAAATATACCTTGGAAGAAATACAGCCAGAATGCTCCTTAGAAGCGAGAATGGCGAGACTTCACCTCACGCACTATGGGTATGTTAGCCATAGAGGACACCTCCACAGTCGCTGGAGGATCGGCAAAGTAGAGGTTCATTGAACTAGAGGAAGGCCCTCACAGAGACTGCAACAATTTGCTCAAACATCGCAACGATTGTGAGGATGGTGCAGTATTGGGCAATGTTGTTCCTGGCGGTACTATGAGTTGGAACTGACTTGATGGCACTTAAAAACAATTACAGAAGCTTTGCTATTTTATATCATCAAATTTATCAGTCTTTTTCTTTACGGATTCTGTGTTTCATGTGATATTTAGATAGGACTTCACTAAGCTACAGATTAAAAGTATGTATTTCTATTTTTGTCTAGTAATTTTATGACTTTAGTTTTTTTTAATGTTTAAATCTTTAATTAATCTGGAATTTATTTTCATTGAAAGGTATAAATCCAATTTTATGGGGTTTTTTTGTTTTTAAATTGACTTCCTAGTTTTACCAGTATTCTTTGTTAAGCACTCCTTTTTTATAAAACACTTCTTTGAAATGTGTTATTTCCAATGATCCTGAGTTTCCATTTTCCATTTGTTTCTGGACTCTGCATTGTTTTAAAGGTTTGTTTACTTGTTTCTATATCAGTACCTATAATTTTTTTAACTATTAGAACTGTATAATAAATTTGAATATTATATAGACCTCTGGTAGCGTAGTGGTTATGAACTGGGCTGTGAACCGCAAGGTCAGCGGTTCGAAACTACCAGCTGTTCCGCGGGAGAAAGATGAGGCGTTCTGTTCTGCTCCCATAAAGATTTACAGCCTCAGAAACCCTATACAGGGTCACTATGAGTTGGAAATGACTCCACGGCACACAGCCACCACCACCACCATAGACATGTTGTTGTTGTTGTTAAGTGCCATCGAGTCGGGTCCGACCCATAGCGACCCTGTACAGGGTTTCCGAGGGTGTAAATCTTTACGGGAGTA